TGCATACAGAAGACTGTGGGGCCATGGACAATGGAGGCCATCGGCCCCCTTCACCCTGTGAGCCTGGAACCTGCTGAAGAATTGAAGCAGGTGGGTGTTGGTTGGAGATGCAAATAGGTCCATCATCGGCATGCCGAACCTGCAGATCAGTTCCTGGAATAAATCCGGGTGGAGCTGCCACTCTGCCTGATCCACAGTCTCGCAACTCAGCCGATCCACCTGTAGGTTTGAGGTGCCAGAGATGTGATCCGCCCTGACAGGTAGGTGTGACTCCATCCACAGGCAAAGTGCCTGCACTTCCAGCATCAACCTCTTGGAATGCATGCTCCCCTGGCAGTTGATGTGCGCCTTGGCGGCCCGGTTATCAATGAGGATCAACATGCCGCCCCATCACCAGGTCACTGAATTCTCGAAGGGCTAGATGGACGGCCTGAAGTTCTAACCAATTTATATTGTTCATCAGGTCCTGGGGGCTCCAGCATCCCTGAGCCACTTGAGAATGGGTGTGAGTGCCCCAACCATANAAAAGACAAATAGTTTAAAAACACACAACAGTCGTAACCTCGGCTGGGGCTGAAAGATTTAACTGCCCCAGGCCTGCCGGAACAGCCAAGTCTTAGTAGCTTTGCGGAAAGCCGGAAGGGTGGTAAGATCTCAGATTACAATAGCTTGGTTGAGATGAGTGAAGCTATTGGATAACGTGATTTATGACAAAGACTGAAGGGAAGACAGAAACATGGGCAAAATTCAAAAGCAGATAAAGAAAGCAAAAAGGATGGCTGTGACTAAGAAATGTCTAATGAAGAATGCCTAATGAAGCTGTTAATAAATCACTGCTTTTTGTATTACAATATTTGTATTACAATAGCTTATTATGAAGCAGGCATCATTAGGGTACTTTACATATATACTCTTAAATATAAAGATATTAATTTTTCAGGAATAATGGGACAGCATTAGAAATCTGTTCCATAATATCATAATATAGTTCTTTCATGGCCTGAAACACAAACTTCTGTAAATAAACCACACTTCCTTTCTTTTGGCATTGTTCCGAAATGTTATTTTCAGGCTTGAACATAATCCAAATCTAACTTACTAGACAACTAAGATCTGATGTTAAATGACAGCAACTTAATGTCCATAATAAATAAAACAGATTGTAGAATTAGCCTTTTTGGGCATAGAAATATGCTACAGAAGAGCATGAAGATTATATATTCTAAGCTTACTATTTCAATTAAAATACTTAGCTAAGATTTTGAGCTGTAGCTGCTATAGTCGGTTTAAGAAAACTGCAGTCTGATATAGAACTTAATATAAAGTGATTATGTTATTGTTACATGTTTCAGAACAGAACTATCATGATTACATTCCTGGGTTTTTTTTAAATATCCCATTACCCACTCTTCACATTATAGCAGCTTTACCAATCTGACCCCTGATGCAATTCTGATAAATCTGAAATCAAAGTGGAAAGTACATCAATTTTGGAAAGATTAGATTGGGAACTAGGGACGCATGTCAGTTCAATAATTCCTACAGAGATTGTCTTACAAATAACTGGGACATGATATTTTAGGCTCCTTACAGATGACAGTTTAGGATGGTGTGAAATTCATAATGAATTCACAGCAGTCATTTCCTTTAAATTACTCAGTTTAGCAAGAGAACCTCTAACACTTTACATGTTTTATCTTGCCTATGCAACACTAACATTTATTTCCAATATTCTAATGAGGAAGATTTTATTTTAAGAAAAGACTGTTGTACTTACCTGAACAGTCGTTCTGGGTGCGCTGCATGAGAATCCAAGGAATGGGTTAATTTCTTGCTTGCCTCAAGACTGAATTAAATGAAACTCAGCCACGCCTCCTTTTGAACTCGGCCGATCAGTTTTTTTCAATGAAAGGAATGGCTGTTTCGAGAAGAAAGCACCTGAAAGTCCACTAACCTCAAAACCTCCAAGGCCCAACAACCCTGGACCGAATCGCAAAGTGCGGGGTTGGATTCTCACGCAGCTCACCAATAACGACTGTTCAGGTAAGTACAACGGTCTTTCTCCAGTGCACTGTTTAGAGAATCCAAGGAATGAGATATGCCTAAGCATACTACCTTAAGGGTGGGTAGAAGTCCGGTCCAGGGAACCTGAGTCCGAGTGAATCACTTGCAGCACCCGATGTCCGAAGGCCGCTTCACCTGAAGCATAGATGTCTCGTTTGTAATGCTTGATGAAGGGTAACGGAGATGACCACATCGCTGCCCTACAAATTTCCTCAATCGATGCTTGTGTGGCCCAGGCTGTAGTTGTGGCCGCANCTTGTGTTTTGTCTTGCACCCCCTTCCTATTTATTGTAAGCCGCCCTGAGTCCCCTCAGGGAAAATGGCGGCCTATAAATGTCATTAAAATGATAAAATGATAAATGGTAAGCCCAAGCATGGAGGCAGAGGTTGGAGGGTGTCATATTAGCTGAACATACTGCATGTCTGCCTGGCTCATGGGGGTTTTGCAGGAGGCTTGTGCAGCAAGCCATCTGCAGGGAGACGGAGGTAAGTGATCCCGATGTCCTGCACGGCCACCTGCAGGGCACAGTCAAGGGTAAGCCAAGAGACAATGGGATAGAATGGGTGGAGTGTTGTGATCGCCTGTTCCCCCCCCCCATGCCGTGTCTCTGCCTCCACCTGGCTCTGCTGCGCATTTTTCGCCCAAAGGGAGATGTAGCTTTGTCTGCTTGCAAATGAGGTGCTCTGTTTCAAAGCGTTCCATTTGCAAGCAGATAAAGCTTTGAGTGTCCCTCATTTCTCTATTCGGGCAAAAAGAATTTGGATGCCTTTGGGTCGCTTGGGAATGGAGTCTTTTGCCTGGCTACATTGCTTAGCCTCCTGCTCCGAAACTGTGTTGGCACCGGAAGAAATGATCTCGTGGGCTCCTGCTGAAGACCGAGTCTTATTTTGGGGAAAACATGGTAGTTTCATACATGAAGTAATAGTCATAATTAACATGCTGAGTCAGAAAAGAACCATTAAATGTAACAACTCAATACTTTAAAGGATATAATTAAAGTAATTGCATCAATAACAAGGATTTATTAAAGTCCCTGTCAAGATTATATTCATTCATTTATTCTTTAATTTGATCAATACAGGTAATCCTCAAGTTATGACAGTAATAGAGGCTGTCCATTTTGGTCAAAATTCAAGATGTGAACATGCTCACGTCTTGGTCCCCCCAATGCATATGCTAAATAATGAAAACTAAGTATGCATGGGGTGCATCAGGGATGCTTGCCAATTTCTTCCCAAAGCATGCCCCCATCCCTGAAATACCCCACATTCCACTTCCCACCCTTTGTGGTCCCTATAGCCACCTCCCAATGGCTCACTTACTTTGTGAACATCTGCAGAGCTTAGGAGGTGGGAGAAATGAAGGACAACAGGTCTCTCTTGTTTTTAAACCTGAGCTGCTATAATTCTCAGCAAATGAGACTTCCCCTCTCCCTCTGCCTTGCCATTTTAACTCTTGTTCTCCGGTGGGAGTCAGCTCAGGTGAATGGAAAAAAACCTTTTGGTGCACGTTTTGAAACCTGAGCTGCCTCTGCCGACACGGGGAACAAAACATGTTACAAATAAAACACAAAAATTCACCATCTTTATTTTTAAGTTAAACCTCTGGTTCCCCGAGAAGCTCCAAATGCATCCTTAGAGAATGACAAGCAGTTGCAACTTAATATTTTATTATTTATTTGTCATCTATCTTGTGTTTCAAAGCAACTCTACTTAATTTTATTAGCTAATCTGGTCACCAATCCAAGGAAAAATGTATTAGTAAGTAAAGGCAGGTAGAACACATTATAGGGGCCCAGAAGAGGTAATAGGAAGCACCCTCAACATTTTGTCTTCTACTAAAGTGTTATTTTTGACTGGCATATCATTCAAGGTCTTTTTGGTAAGAAGCTTAACATTCCAAAGATGGCTGTATATTCTAGTCATTAACAGATTGGTTAAAAATTATGTGATTGCTGATTACTATGATCAGTAATGTGCAATAGCATAAATGTATCACCCCTGCAATTACAGCAACGCAACAATCCTTGTTTTAATTTGTTAAGTCAGAATCTTTCCCTAGATAGACATTTCTATTTGAATAACTTCAGTTTTTAAAACAAGAATAGTAAGTCTAAGTATGTGAGTTTCAGCTATCAGATTCTGTTCCATATTCCAGAAATGTTACATTTACTCCACAAGAATATATCAATACAAATCAATATTGTAGAATGTACGATGTTCCTAATGCTAATCCAATTTTATTGCCTAATATTTCAAATATTAAATATAGAGTTAAACAGGCTTCTGCGAGCAGCATGAACTACTATATTCTCTGCACTGTATGCAAGCTATTTGACATTGGAAATTATTCCTAAACATTTTCCTGGGGATAATATCCACCAATAATGCTAAGTAACTCCCAAGGACAATGTTAAATGTCTAAAACAGGTAATGAATGCTATGTTTAGACAATGGATGCAGACAATGTCATTCATCTTCCCTTGGCTCTGCCATCTGTTACAAGCCTTGATAGCAAGTAAAAAAATGTCATAATGTCTGCATCCATTATATGAATAGAGAAATTTAATTGGCCTTGCCTAAACTGAGATCATGGTAAAGTTTTTAAAAAATCTATAAATTCTTATCTGTAGTTCAAATTAAGACTCAGATGGTCTTAATTCTGTGAATATTTACAAGATCAGAGCTTAATTTTATCACAAACCATAAAAGGAGCATAAATCTCTAAACCAATGCACATTTCCAACATCTTCCCTAACAAGTCTCTCTATTGTGTCTTAAAGAAATGGGTACTAGGAAATATTCATCAGACACAGTTGAATTAATGTGCTAATGCAAACCATTGGTAAAAATGTTGTTTGCTATGTATCTATTTAAAAAAAAAAACAGGAATCTGGTTATTGAAAAGACATTTCTTAGCAGACAATAATACTCACACTACTGAGCTTTTCCCAGAATTCATGTCCTTTCTCCATCTTTCTCAGGCCAGGTGGAATATACCAGAAACAAACATTTGCATATTCTGGCTGAAAAGGTAAGGAAAATTAATCTTCATTATATAAAAAGAAAATTGACCAGACTACTAAATCAATACAAATGTAAGAGTCTGTCAAAGTTTGCAACAGCAATCATATCCAGAAAGCACACACATATATCTGATTCAGCAGAATTCATTAAATTCTCTTTATATATAACATAACACACAAAGTAAATATATAATACCAAAAACAGGTTTTCCAACATGGTAGCAAATAAAAGCAAACACAGAGGAGAGAAAGTTTCAGTTCAGAGCAGCAGACTAGTTTTGAACTCAGCACAGACTCAGAACTGCAGAGCTAAGCAACGCCTAGGCTCCTTGCTGTCTCCTTGTTGATCACACAGCAAATATTGTTTCAGTTTCCAAACAGTCCCCATTGGCTGACCTGTTACCATGCCTATTCCAGTCTATGAACATGGGTAGAGAGCAATCTTACCTCAATTCACACACAGACAAGTGCACACAAAGGTTTTGGTATCAAACTCATTAAAGATTGTTAATCTAATTCAACATTTCTACATAAGATGATAATTAACCATTTGATAATCCCTGATAGCTTATATCTATTAAATTTGTATGGTGCATTTTTAGCATGAATGTAGTTCTATGTCATTATATGATGACTTACTTTAATAAATGACAGGTGGACTTCCTGGTAACATGACTAACTGAACACATGCACCAGGAGATCTTTGAAGGATTTCTCTCTAAGGTGTGGCTCTTCTGCCTTTTAACTGAAGGAAATGATATTCCATCAGTTTTATGACCCACCCAGTCAGGGTGTATCGAAGAACTTCTCCTCAGGACCCTTCAAAACAGCTGTAAGCTGGCAGATTGCTTTTGGAGTTGAACTGCAAAGCTGTCTGCATGCCAAGAGCTGGGAGGGGAGAGGCTAAAATCTGTTCAGGGGCTGAAGAGAAGTTGAAATCGACAGTAAGTTATGCCTTCCTTATCTTATTCACCTTCAAAGACTATTATTCTGTCTTGTCAGGTTTTTTTTACATTTTTTTTAAATTTTCTTTTAATANAATTCTAAGCAGCTTACAAATAAAAAGATGAATAAAAAACAATTAAATTTTAACACTATGAAAAAAAGAAAGAAAACAGGAACCAAGAGATGGATGCTACAACAATGAGGTCTTCTTACCCTGTCAGCCACCTCCAGTAGTGAGTGCTGTCCTTAAGGTCCCAAGACAACTGGAGGAGCTAAATTTTATACCCTTTTCGAAGGCCAATAGGGTAGGAGCAGTTCTCAGTAGTTCTGGTGATACAATGTCCCCTGGGGTCAGGGCCACAAAGGAAAAGGCTCTATGATCATTCTTACAAAATTACTTAGCATAGTGGTCCTCAACCTTTCCGGCTTGACGGGGGGGAGAGAAATGGTTCTGTATGAGTGGCAGGCGCATGCCACTCTCACAAATGGAACACTCGCCTGACACTTGCACGGTCCAGTTTTAAACGGGCCATAGCCTGGAGGTTGGAATCCATAAGTCTCTTCAACTAGCATGAGTGGGATGAGCCAGCCCCATTATGGTGAGACACTCCTTAGATTCCTGGACCCATGCACTTTAAAGGATAATAATCAACATCTTGAATTGGTCTGAATAGCAAACTGGTAAATAATGAAGCTCGCACAGCTGAGGTTTTATAGGTGCCTAAATGGCCCCAGAACTGTGTGCATTGCTACTTCTTCACCAACTGTAATAGCATTAAGCATCATTACTTTTGTATTTTTTTTTAAAGACTAACAACATTTCAAGAAATTATGTAAGAGATGGAGGAGGAGCCAACATCACAATGATATGGATGTGCGGTCTCGATGCTCTGAGACCGCAGCTGATGCTTTTGCCACTGGGTGGCCAATTGGACCTAGACTGTCCCACAAAGACGGTGAACAGGAAGAATATGTCTTGCTGATCTCAGGGACATTGCAAAGTCCCTGATCGATGCAAGAGAAGTTCTTCAAGCTGGCGACAAAAAATCCAGCCAAGGCTGATGAAGTCGGGGCGGCTCCAAAACGGAAGGATACGGAAAGAAAAAGTGTTTCCAGCTGGTGAGGAATTTTTACCGTTTAAAAGAGACTGCCTATAAAAAACTTAAAATTAATTTAAATTGGAGGACAGAAGAAATAAGCGGCGGAATTAAGTTTGGAATGGTTTTGGACAGTGGGTTATCTTACTTTTTAAATGCTATGTTCATGGATGAAATTTAAAATGAATGGATTAAGTTTTTTATAGGC